TATTCTTGACGAAACTACTCATTAAAACTCAGTATTGTAGCTGAAAATTCACGAGAAGCTATTTACTTGTTAACAAAAAACAAAAAAATACAAGTTCATCCAGAAAACACAATAAAGAACATGTACACATTAGACCGTTTTTTTGTGATTACGATTTCTTAAATTATTTTTTCGTTGCATAAAGAACAAACCAGAAAACTTGATTCGATACTTGTAAAATTTGTCTTTATGATGAAAAGATACAGTAAAACACACTCTACAATATGATTTTTTATTCAGTTCACTATTTCATGTAGTGAGAATTGAAATAAGAATGCAACGTAACTCGTTCATAAAGTCTCAGAGAACAAATTCGTTGTGTCAAATTGAAGATATATCTTGTTAAGATTGTTTTTTGAATTACAAATAAATAAACTATCTTATAAGATTCTCAAGCAAGGTCGAGCTTAGTTATGGTAACTTCTTCACTTCCATTAAAAAGCCACATTTTTTCTTTATTGTTAGAAAGTTTTACCACAACAAATTCTTTTAAACTTTCAGTAAAAAAGATAAAACATTTAATGAAACAAAAATAAATCAAAGCATTTATATAATCTTCTTTTCAATTTACATATGCAACATGACAGAACAATGAAAAAGAAAAGAAATTAAACATACTAATAAGACACTACGGTCAACTGTACTTTCTTAAAGATGATTCAACCTTTCAATTATTTTGTATCATGATATGACCATTGCTTATACTATTGTGATTCCTATGATTATATAATGATGAAAAATGACTCGTATAGAAATTTGAATAATGTTTTTTTTTTCTTAGTCTTTTTGAATTTTTGACATTTATTTTCCACCTAGTTATTTCTTAACAGGTACTTTGTAGAAAATTCTGATCAACTGATGAATAAATATATTGAAATTAGATTATATTAAGTTAATAAAGAAGTACAGTTATCAAGTCGAATTACCAAATCAGTTTTACATCCTTATTATGACTTCATACATCTTATTTTTCGCGTAATTATTTATGAATGATATCAATTTATTATTTAAACTTTAAATTGAAAAAAAAAAGAACATGATTTTATTTGATTATTATTGTTTATGAGCACAAGCCAGAAAATTTGGTTGGTTATAATAAAAGTCGATTGTTTTATCAGTACATGCTCCTCCTCCAGTTGAACCAACATGTGGACAATGTATAGATGGAAATAAAGGTACAAAATATGTATGAATAAAACGGCAAATAACATTTCCTTGATCTTCTCTTGGGTGTGAAGTGTGGGTGTGGGCATGAGTGCTCCTTTACAACTAGCACCCACACCCGCCCACACCCCAAAATTTCAATATCTTCATCACTCTTCAACTAAATCAGCTGATTTTTTTCTTAGAATAGACCATAGATTGAAGTTCTTATTCATGTTCAAACAATCCATCCATACATATTAAATTAGCAAACTGTTCTTTTTTTCTTATATTTATTTGTTAATAAATGTCAAATATAAAATAATCAAAAAAAAAAAAGAAAAAGTCAATATTCTTCAATTTTTTGTCGATCTTTTTCAATTTGTAAAACTTTTTTTTGTTAAACTTGTTAAAGAATTTGTATTTGAATCATCGAAAAATGCTCCTTTAATAGAATTATTTGTTGATTGACCAAAAAAAAGGATTTTTTTCATTTCTTTTAATAAGAATATTATCTTGATTATCATTTGAATTATTTATTTTTGATATTGTTGAAATAGTTGTTAAAAATTTACCATCTTCCGTTCGAGTCGTTTGTACTGCATTATTTGCACCTAGAATTTATTTATTTAAAAAAAAAAGAAAAAAATTTCAATATGATTCATATGATCTCAATTCAATTAGATTTAACAAATTTTATAAATAATATTATTATTTTATTAATTTATTTAATATGCTAATTACTTCCCAGGTCCAAGATGTACGGCGGGAAACTGCCTGATCCGGTGAATTTCCGGCTATTTCAGGGTGGCAGTATTCCCAAATCGGTTCCGGCTTTCGTTTCCTACTTAATTCCCGTCAGTTCCGGAGTCCGAAAGTGATGACCGGATACGGATCCCGGTTTCCGGTATGGTTCCCGCGCCTGGTTCCAGCGACATATGACGACGACAGGATACGAACCATAAACTGTTGTTTCCGGTATGGCTACGAAGCCCAGATCCCGCCGTTTGCATTTCGGCTATGGAGTTCGGATCGGACCACAGGATACGACAAGATAGGACTCGGATCCCGCTAGTTCCAATTGAATGGATTCAACTTTTCAGTAACACCCACACCCACACCCACCCAGGTGTTAGGGTTCACGCTGAAAAAAAACCAAGTTCGAAGCCCTCGAAGGACGATTTTCCTACCTCTCGAAGACTCTGTTTCAGACATCGTCCCCACTATAAATACGGGTGCACCGGGCGTTAGGATTTACATTGAAAAAAAAACAAAGTTCGAAGTCCTCGGAGGACGATTTTCCTACCTCTCGAGGACTCTGTTTGAGACATCGTCCCCACTATAAATAAGGGTGCACCAAGTGTTAGGGTTCCAGGGTTGCCAGATTGTCCGAATTAGTCTGAATTTTCAGACTTTTCTAAGTTTTTCCGACTGCGTTCCGACTGTCCGAATTTATCCGAATTCTTGGATTTTTTCCGAATCGTAGTATTTTTTTAAAATTTCCTGTCCATTACAATTTTCTACCCAAGTGAGCAAAAGACGGGGTAAATGACTAGTCTTTTTTCTAGTCATGTCGACCCGTCATGCTTAGTCTTTGTCTCAAATTCGACGGGCACATGACTAGTCCGGGATTTTTGACCGTCATGAAGCCTGTCTAAATCACGTGATTGATGGGCGACATTATACGTGTCTAGTCTAGTCTTTCTTTTGAGAAAAACTCGTCCAGGACTAGTCTGAAGTCGGTTTATACGAAACATTATTGTCTGAAATGCAGACTAGTCTTGGACGACGACTTTTTGAGAGGGTGTGGGTGTGGGTGTGGGTGTGTGGGGTGTGGGTGTGGGTGGTGTGGGTGGGTGTGGGGTATGGGTGTGGGTGTGTGTGGGGTGGGTGTGGGGTGTGGGTGGGTGTGGGGTGTGGGTGTGGGGTGTGGGTGGGTGTGGGGTGTGGGTGGTGTGGGTGTGAGTGTGGAGTGTGCGTGTGAATCTTCCGTTCATTTACACTCCACATCCACACCCACACCCACACCCTACGTTGCTTTTTCAAGAGTTCATTCCCTTACATTTATCAAGGTACAACTCATTAAAGAAAAACACAGTGAAAAATATAAAACTAGAAACATTGTTTTCAAAGAAATTTTGTAAATTAGTTACTTTAAAATAGAATGAACATTAAATAAATAAATTGTTCTAATAGAACAGAAATAAAAATTTCCATTGTATCCCTGATAATCCTTTATCTTCACGAAAAACTTTCTTTCGTTGTTAAAAAAAGCTACCGTGCAGTATGCACGGGTTCTCGCTAGTCTATTATAATTGTATGATTGTTGATGAATCAAATTTTTAGTCTGCTGATTGATATAAAAAGATTTCAGTTATTTGTGTCAATGAACTTTCATCAAATGAAATCTGGATATAGCATCAGATAAAAATGCCAAGGCAACATCTTGCTATCATCATGCATTAGTTTGCTTGGTCAATTAGTTGGGTGAATCAAGCTAGTGAACAAAAATGAATCAGCTGTTCATTTCTCTTATGTGATAGTTGCATGCATAGCATCATTCATAGAATGAGTGTATAGATGAATATACAAACAGGGTATTAGACAAATTAAAAATAAAGAATTTTATAATATTAGATGCTCATCATTTAATAAAACTATAATTTAATTAATCCATCCAATATAAATAATGACAAAATAAAATGGTTTATTAGTCATCCATAGGAAGAATAGCATTTCTTTTCCTTAATATTCAAATAGTTATTATTCTACTCGTAATCTAACTACCGTTGTTGTGATGAAAATATTTGATTGATGCGTATTTTCAAGTTGTCTTTTCAGCTATTACAGCGCTGATTGTAGTTATGACCTATTCAAATAATTAGCTTACTTATCATTTAATTATTCTTTATACTATTTTCAATATAGTAAAAATTGCAAATGTACTGTCGTATAAAATGTTTCTCATCATAGTGTCAACAATTATTTTCTATTTTTTTTTAACAATATTGATTTCATAGAGAGAATTAAGATTAAATTTTGTATATCAAAAAAACTAAGGAAAGAACTCATTAAGTTTTCAGAAATAAGAGAAAAATACCTTCTCTTACATAGAAGACTCATTTTTTTATTTTTTATTTTCGATGACAATAAGAATAAAAGGTTGTAGAGATTATTACACGCGATATTACAATATTACTCTATTAATATTTGATTCATAGAGATTTTTCAATAAGTGTCTTAGAAGCAAAACTAAGTGAATCTTTGATTATGTCATTCTAACACTACACAATCATTCAATTGAGTTTTTATTCTTTAGTTAAAATATGATTCACCTTGTAAACAAATACTATTCGTTAATAGATTTATGGAAATGTCTATATCTAAATGATTGATTTTTAATCCATTGAGTCTATGGAATATTCCAAGTGCGCATCGGCGTCTATTGCAGTGGGGAAAAAACAAAGTAACATAATTTACTTTCGTGAGCATCATGTTGAAGTATAAAAGAACAGCAAAATATTTTTTCAATCATTCTGCATTGATGAATTTCTTTGCTCGTTCGATTGCGAGCAATGCCATGTGACTGACAATTGTTTGTTTTTAGTTTTGTCAATGTTGACTAAGATATATCAAAATAAAAATACTGCATTATCAATAAGTATCTTATTTTATTTTGGATAACATCGATCACTTATTCAAAGGACTTCACTACTTGAATATAACCAAAACAGAACCAATGTCTTTCTTTTGATTGACTACTTTTTCATAAACAATGATCAAACATAAGATTTTTCCTTTTACTTTCAGAAACGATCATGTCATCGGCAACCATAAGTTATAGCACCTTAATATTTTACGATGTTAGTACACGAACTGCAGACAGAGTAATTACAGCAATGATCAGGAAACATCTTTCCAATGCACATTGGACAATCAAACGAGGAATTCCTTATCGTTAAGATTTATCTTTTAAGTCTATTCATTATAACTGAGATTTTATTTTTCTGATAGGTAAAAATGGTGAAGAATGTCAACGTATTTACATCACTTTTGATCAACCAGAAAGTGTAGATGAGTTTATGCAACAACGAACTTTCCAACTGAACGGACAACTTCTGAAAGTGACACGAACTCTGCCAAAATCATGTCGACTCTCTGATCGATATGGTACTGGTCTGAAAATAAAGATACATGCATCTGACAACAATCCTACACATATCGGAAAACTCAATGAAAATGATTTGAAAAAATATTTTCAACAGTTTGGTGAAATTATAAGTTGCAAATGGACAAATACAGATCAAACTGAAGCATTATTTACATTTGCACAGTAAAGATAAAGAATATCTATATCTGATTGATTTAAAAATTTATTCATTCTATTTTAGTTACGATTCAGTTGATAAAATCATTCTCCGCAATCTATCACCGGAAATCAAAGGAGCAAAAATTTCCCTTGAAAGAACTCGAACAGGTAAAAAACATATCTTAACATTCTCATAGTACATGGTATTTTTGCTTTATCTTAGCTGAAGATTATATAGCTCATGAACTTTCCTATGTCATTCATGTTACCAATCTACCATTTCGTGTGACAAGCGAAGAAATATCCAAGGTTTTTAAAGTTCCTATTGGTGTTATTCTTCTATATCCTTGTTTTCGTCTCGAACAATCTCGTATCGTCGATGGACGATCATCGAGTGAAGCTCGGATAACAAATTTCACTAATGAAAAATTAGCACAATCGTTGGCTCAGGAAAAAACAGGAATGTTGATAGGTACGAACAAAATTCAATGCGAAGTTATGCTTGAATCCATCAATGATGAAGAATTGTGCGAACGTTTTCAAAAATGTCAATGTCCATATTCTACAGATACATGCTATTATAAACATATCACTTGTTATGAACCAGATACTTGTGATGATAAATCTTGTTGGTTAGGACATAGTGACAAACGCACAACAATATCTAATAATAATCGACCACAATATCGTAAGATAAAAATTTATTGTCATTTCTATGATTGTTTTATCATATCTTGTGATAAAATAGGTTCAGAAGATGCACCATATCGTGTCAAAATTAGTAATCTTCCTTCAAATATTACTCACGAAGATCTGATGAAACGATTGAAGATTCATCCAAAATCTTCACATCATCTGATTCTTCAACCAGCAGAACAGTGTTCAGGTTCGCCAAGAATGGCTTATCTCATACGTCAACCATTGGAAAATAAACTTCGATAACAAATTGATAAATGGCACAACACTTCATTCTCATTGGAGATGCCACAAAAAATCCAATGTCAATTGGAAATCAACCAGGATTTCTTCGAATGGAACGACTCCGTTGAAATGGTTCGATCACTTGACAATAGTCGATGTGCATCCCCTGTTTTGAGCATTCAGAGTGTCTGTTCGAATAGAACTAAGCCGATACCATGGCATTCTTCGGCCTTTAGCACTGTCAGTTGCCAACAAAGTATCTCAAAAAAATCCTATTTCGTTGAACAATCAGATGTGAGAAGGATTGCGCCAATAAATCAAGAAAATACACCAAAAAAGAAACATACAATCAATTCTTTAAGATCAAAATCAAGTATGAATAGTTTTCTTAATATTGATTCTTTTAAATTATCGATCTTGTTTACTTAGAATTTCATCATCGTCAACCACCATCAGATATATCGAGCTGGTCAACACGATGGCAATGGACGAATCAAATGATACCAAAGGAAGAGTCTGATTGTGATGTATTGTATTGGCTTGAAAGTGAATCTGTCAAAGAAAAAAATATTGTGATAAAAATTTATTTGCCACAAACCAACCAAACAGCACGAATACGTGCGCAACGTGAACAAATTGCACTTGAACGTCTTAAACAGTTAATCTGTGTACCAAAATTGTTGCGTAGCAATGTTCATTCTGCGAATGATGATCAATCAAATAAAGAATTTTGGAATATCATGAGATTCACTGATGCTGAAAGGCTTTCGGATTATGTTAAAAACAACAAAGCTGATCTTCGAGAAGCATTGAAAATCGCTCAACAACTTCTGACTATTATTAAGCAAATTCATGCTCAAAATATTATTCACCGTGATATTCAACCTAAAAACATCCTAGTTCAATATCGATCGAATAGTGATGAGATCAGTTTGATTTTGATGAATTTTAGTTCAGCTTGGATCAATAATTACCAATGGGCAAATTCTGAAGAAAATATTGATGTTGAGTTAGGCAATAGCTTTTATCAAATGCCACAATTTGAAAAACGACAAAATGAGAACAATGACGAGCAACTCAGAGAATATCAATGTAGTCCTAAAATTGATACTACTGGTGTTTGTGCCATTCTCTTTTGGTTGATCACAAATCATGAACCCAAAGAATCCAAAAATATAGACAAACAAGCACCACACAAGTTGCGTGTGAATTCAAAATTCATCGAAAAAAGAATTAATGAAGCAACAGGTAAGATCAAATTTTTCGTACGAGTTTCTGACAAAATTCAATAATCATTTTATATTTTGAAGCTTTTCGTGTGGGAACGAAGATTCCTGAACACATAATGAAGCATCTTACACTTATATTTGATCGTGGTTTTGGTGATCCTAATCAACAATGGTCAGTAGATGAACTTGACTATCAACTTCAATTTATGTTTACATTAATTACAAATGAAAACGAACAAGTCAATTATTTTCCTGCTCCTCAAATCATGAACGATATCATTTTATCGCCTACTATTCCATTGGAAGATCCTTTCGTCTATGTTGTATCATTGATTCATCACTTGAAACATCAATTTGCGACTCGTTATTCAAAATGTGTTCGTTGGTCGACAGATAAAAAAAATAGTTGGAATGCTCAAAATGGACGCATAGAAAACTACGATTTACTAATCTTTTCTTGTCAAGAAAAAAATTTTCCAATTGATATCAAATGGGATGTTCAACTCTTGCAAGAACAAAACTTTTTATTTTATGTTAAAGCAAGAACGGACAATAAGATCATTATTGAATTACCATTGGGTGTATGGAAGATAAATGAACAAACAGCGACTTTTGAAGTTCATCTACAGAATTTTGAAATGGAAATTAAAACTTTAATCAATATTCTTTTTAAATCTAACGTACATTAGAATTGTTTTACAAGTAGATAAATGTGATCACTCGCACATTTTAGATTTTTTTTCTAGGTAAATAGATCATACTCTTAATATAAGCATCATTTATCGATTTCTTCTTTTCATAAGTGTACAAGCTTGAACATAATGAGTTCTAATGTTTTATAAATATAATTATATGATAAAAATGATCGCAATACAGTGCTCCTTACTCATCTTCTCTTGACAACATTTGTAATAATGCTCTCTGAGAGCAAAGTCTTCGATGCGACTTTGGCAAATAGTACATCTTATTGGATGAAGAATACATACACCTGACACTTCCTGATGCTTATAGGACTTTGATTGACATACCAATTGTTCACATTCAGAACATGTTGGGTGTGGGTGTGGGTGTAGATGCGAGTAGTCAATTCACTGACAGTCATACCCACACCCACACCCTAGTGCAGTCCATTGAAAAACAATACGAAATCAAATTCAACGCAGATGAGTAATTAAATATTTAACAGACAAAATTCATCTAAAAACTTTTAAATCATTTATGGGAAAGAAAGAAAGCGTCTTGTTTAAACACGACTATTGTATTTTTCTAAGCTACCTGTACCACACATAATTCACTTTTTTGTATATTTTAAAAGTATCAGTTCTCTTTTGTTTATTACCGATATGAAGTATTCGACAGTAAGTGTTATCATATATAGATGAATAATGGAAAATTCTTTATCTAGTTTTCTAAGAAAGAAAATAATTTTTCAAAAGATACAATACATTGATAAACTGATGATATGTAAGGATATTGGTGCTAGTTTACTTCAATTATCAATCACATTCTTTGTGTTCAGAACTCATCTCAAGTATTATGATTCGTCATATTAGATTTCATTCAACAAGTAGTGGCTGTCTGAAAAGTTTTCTTCTATAAAACACTCAATATTGACAATAAGAACGATTATTTTGGTCTCATTGTCCTTGTATTAATTCTCTCTTAACTATTCATTGTACGAGGCTTAAAATTTGTGTTATCCATCAGCTTTTTTGTCGCTTCGTCGTTATAATAGCTGCATCGCATTCATGGGCGTTGGTGACGATGTATTGATACTTTTCACAAAAATCTTCTACTTTTTTGGAAAGTATACTCTATTATAGAATTGATTAAAAAGAAAAGAGGCCGACTGCGAAGCCAACATATGTCTTTTGTATTTTATTACAAGCAGAGAAGGTGGTTGTATACAAACTAAAATTTCGAAGCGCGTATTTTATTAAGAAATTCATGTTAATTTTATTTTCGTAATTTATTTCGAATTTGTCTTTTTTTTTTCAATAAATTAGTGTGACGATTTCATCGACAATAATCAACGGAATAATATTGATCATGCCATATTGTACTATTTCGAAAGTTTATTCAAAATGAATTTCGAATAAAAGTATTTCATATTTTATTCGTTCAGTTTTATCATTAAAGCTTCATCAATTGATTTTGCTGATTTCCTTTGACCATAGCCTACTTCGATTTTAACTAATTAAGTCTAGTTCGTTCTAATCGTGATATCTGATAAAAGTCTAATCATCTGATGATAGTGATCATCAGAGTATTATTTTATTGCATAAATTATTAAAAATCATATTTAGAAAATACCAGAAGATCATTCTTTAACGATGAAATCACAGTTATCATAAATATTTATATTTCATTTTACTCTATATGATTATTTTTCGACGATTAATATTCATTTATGAATAAATTTTGCATCGTTTTTAACGAAGTAAATTGGACATTCTATGGACATCTTTGTAAAATTATTTTATCATTCAATTAGATCATATTTCTAAATCTTGACATAATGAAATTATTTCAGTATTTTACAGGAGCATTTATGATTCAACTTTTCAGGAGTGATTTTCTGTAGTTCGACTATACTGAAAGTTTCTCCACACATAGAATTTATACTGTAATATTTCTTTTAAAATACAGAGTCAGTTAAAAGAGCTGATATTTTCATATGTATGTGTCTATAAGAAAAGGAATTACTCCGAAACGTCAACTTAATAAAGAATCACACTGATTATGTTTTATAATATATAATTTTTTTAATTTTCTATCATTTAGGTAACTTTCAAACCAATTATACATATTTTCATATTGATTGACTTCTAATTATACAATGTTATTTATTTTATTCTACGTCATTTTTTGGCTTACATCAAAGGTAAAGCTAATCGAATTGAAGAATATGATTATACAGGGTTGGAAATAATATTATTCCAGGGAGGTACCGCTACAATTTTAAGCAGAAGACATAATGAATTGTATATCAGATGAAAGCCCGTCAAAAATGGGGTTTATCGATACTAAATAGTAAAAGTTACGAAAACTTTTTAATATCAAACTTCAGACATTTTCAGAAATTTTATACCTTTTTCGCGTAGAAAAGTAAGGTACCAGTAACTTTAAAATGGAGTAAAAATTTTTTCTTGGATATTTTCACAAGTTTCGACAGAGCTCGTCGAGCTCTACAAAACTGTACATATTAAAAACTTTGTAAGACATCTTTTTGAGATAAAAAGTTCAAAAACCTACTTGGATAATCTCAAAAAACGTTAAAAATCTTCTTTTTTTATATAGAAGAAAAACACTTGGTTCTTAAATAAAATCAGTTATTTTCATTGTTTTTACTATCTCAGACGTTTCGAAATATACCCATTCGATGCAGCATGAAAAACTGCGTCTAATGAGTATATTTCGAAACGCCTAGCGCAGTAAAAATAAGAAAAAAAAGCTAATTTTATTGAAAAATCGAGTGTTTTTCTTCCATATAAAAAATATGAATTTTTATAACATTTTTTAAGATTTTCCAAGTAGACTTTTGAATTTTTTATCGCAAAAAAATGGCTTAAAATTTTTATAATATATACAATTTTGTAGAGCTCAACGAGCTCTATCGAACCATGTACGAATATCCAAGAAAAAATTTTACTCCATTTTTGAATTGCTGGCACCTTAATTTTCGACCCAAAAAATTAATTATGTCTTCTGCTTAAAATTATAGCAGCACCCCCCTGAAATAATATTATTTCCAACCCTGTACTGTAGTTAATTTGCAAGTTTTAACAAGAGGTATTTCTAGGAGAAAAAAGGAAAACAGATTTATGATTATATCGAGACATTTTTTAAACCTTAAAAGCCGAAGAGAGGTTTTTCCATGCAAAAGACTGAAAACAGCCATAAATATAGTACTTGTTGACTCTCAGTATACTCACCGTATAGTTAGAACACACAACTTTGCTCTTCTTCTAGAATTAAACAGAACTCTTTGTTGAAAATCTTGAACCTCACAAAAATCTTCAAGAGAAGAATTTTAAACTGAAACTTTTCTCATAACTACTTTTCGCTGCCATCATTTTGTCGTTACTTTTTTCAGTCAAAACGTATCTTTTGTTCTCGAGATATTGAATATGGAAAAAATTAGCAAACAAGTCTGCTGTATTTCATGAACTGAAACATATTTGCCACTGGAAATTTTAACACGCACATTAGCTACTTATGGGCATGCTTTACAGCAGAAAAAGTTCTATTTTGACTATTTATGCTGCATATCCTTCATTTGATCTTCATTCTAGCATTTTGAGAGAGGAAATTTGCAAGCTCGTTTTTCGAATCAACAAATATCTGAGGAAAGGTTACGGAGTTTTCAAAATCATCAATATCAAAAACCATCTAGTACTCTTTAGGAGACAAATCAGAATTATACTCCAATTTGTATGTAGTCGCTAGGATCGTGCAGATACAGAGAAACTTAAGTTTTTGCATGTTAACTCTCTTAGTGGATCTTATTGTAGATAAACTAGTGTCCCTTGAAAGGGACATTTGGTGTTTAAGGATTAAATGCTTGTTGAACTTACAATCTTGGAAGACGATCTTCGCTTTTGAAACTCCGATTTTGCAAATAACTAAATGAAGTCGAAAATTACATGATATCAATAGTTTGTTCAGAAAAAAAGATCAGAACATAGGTAGTCGATAGTACGTGCAAAAAACATTGATATTTATTCTGTGAGTTTAAATTGAATGAAGACGAGTCGAATTCATTTCCGTTTTCATAACAAACTATATCGAAGCTATAAAAATGAAAATTTTCGAAGTTAATCGCAGAGTTCTAATAGTATAACAGTGAAATAGTTTGAGTTTCCTTTAAAAACAATTTTATTCATGTAATTTTTACTGATGAATAATAACAATTATTCTTTGCAAAGACAAAATATATGGTTGATGAACCCTTATCCTTTTTATTTGTGTTGTTTCTCAAAAAATATTTAGCAACACATAAATCCTAAAACTAGAAAAGAAAATTGTTTGAAGTATTTCAGTGTCGAAATCGAAGTGAAAAAGTGTGCTACGATATCTCGCAGTTGGGTTTGCAATAGAGAGTTCGACATTGAAACCTTCAAGATGTTTTTTTCTATGTACTATTGGTAGTGCCAATTCAATTTTTAGACTTGTCGAAAAAGCACGGTTAGGATGAAACACAACTAGCATGAACAACAGATACAGAGTTGATCACTATCATCGATGGTAACACTGAAACTGCTTGTAAGTAAGAATATATCTAGTATTACGAATCTATTTTGAGTAGTACAAAAAAGCAAGTCTCATATCGATTTTGAATTATCTGGTCCTAATTGCTATTAAGTATCTATAGGTGATTACATTCTTCATTAGAAAGAAATTATTATCTATTATACCATGGTCCAGCATTTGATACATAGGTTGAAAAGCTCGCTAAATTTAATCGGATCCCACAGTATCATAGTTTAATCTATTGATAATGTCTTTTTCGTTTATTTTTGATCATGAATATTAAACAAAAAGAAACCAATTGTTTTGATATTTATAGATGGTATGTACGCGATTGAATGCTGCAGATCTTCAATCAATTTATATGAAACTGCAATCACCTTCACTCGTGGTTGCTTTCAAAGATTTATCACATTTTCGAAGACAAATATTAGCACAT